GCCTTGAGGCCTTGGTCCGTTGGGCTTCGCGGCTGTTACGAGATCTTGGCCCAATTTCACTGATTTTCGGCCCGAACGTCGATTTTATCTTCTCGGAAGCTCGTTCAAGCCCGAAACTTGATCCTTTGATGATTTATTCCCTTTTTCTCAAGCATTTGAACATAAAATGGATAATTTATGATGATTTTATGTGGAATCCCTATTTATGACTCTTAGAACGAAAATGAGAGTTTTATCCATCAAAATCACATTTTATGAGATGATTAAATATCATTTACGTGCAATAACGTTTAGAATATGATGTAAATGATAAGAACGAAACGGACTTATCAAATATCTAATGCATCGAACTTACACATACATTGAATCTCAATTCATAATCAAATCATTTGATATCATGCACATAATATTCATTTTAGATATTCATTATTAATTCATATCAGATCAATTGAATCCCATTTCATATAATAATTTTCCATTCCGCATGCTGGAACTATCTATATAAACATAATTTTCCACCTCGCTCAATTTTCACCCACGCTGGTGGGTACAGTTGCTGACCTCATTGAGGAGTTTCGCAAGAGACTTCAAACTCATCTCAGACCGTACTTATCTATCATTCCAACTGTGGATTTCTATGAGGCATACGACCTAATCTCCAAAACCGAGAAAGATCTAAGAGACCACTGTGAAAGTATGAAGACTGAGAATGTCAATTCAAGTGTACGACAAAATACTAGTGGAAAGAGACGAGTGAGACCAAAAGTGCCCTGCACTCGAAAAAGGGAAAGTTCGTGACAATTCAATCGACGCCATCTGTAAACACATTGATGGTATGGAATCATCCAAACTGTAACATTTGTAAAAGACACCATCCAAGAGAATGCCAACTTGCACAAGGATTATGTCTAGCTTGTGGAAAACCTGGACATTTCCGAAGAGAATGTCCTACAAACCCTGAATAACATTCAGTTACTTCTGTCCAAAATCAATCTGTTCATTTAGAGAAGAGTCAATTTTCTAAAACATGAAACAATTCAAAGAATCCAAACCAAGGATGATGCTCCTATGAAGATCCTAAAATGCCAAACTATTATCAACTAATGGTTTGAGAATGCATTTATGAATGAAGGTTTACAATAGTGACAACTTTCTGTAAACAATAAATCATCTTCCAATTTGTATCTTAAGAATATACATACTTGTATGTATGTTGAACACTTTCTATCTAGAAATCTTTCACTTGACTAATCTTGAAGAAATTATTCCCATTATCATTGAAATCTTCAACCTAAGATTCGTTATTAAATCCATGTGATGCATGATAATACCAATTTTTGAAATCACACCGCGTGAGCCTCGTGATTAGATTACGATGATAAAGTACTCTGACTTGAACGTTATGTTAAACCTCGCTCTGTGAACCACAAAACAACTAATGCGATTACATTATCAATGATCTTGATGATCAATGACTCTTTTCTGACCCTAGCAAGGGAACATTACGTAACAATTAGAAGAAGGAATGGCGTCATGAACTCAAAGGACGTCGATGAACTCAAAGGAACGACAAATCTATTGTCTTATAAGTTCGTGAATTGAATCAATGTCGAATTTATTCTCTTCTTCCCTTGAAAAAAGATCAACCATAGGGTTAAAACGAACCTGTCACTATCATGAACATATCTTGGTATACTTTTGAATCAATGAAAGAAAGTCGAATACGACAAAACGAATACGAGAGGCCACTCGAACGTCGTCACCTATGAATACGAATTGATTCAAAGACTCATTAACAATAATGAGAACTATCACGAAGTGAATGAAGAAATATTTCGATGTAAGATCGATGGTAACGAGCTACTATACAATCAATCGACAGTATTTCTTCACAAATGATGACAAATCCCATATTCCGAAAATCTTGAACCAATAAAAGTAATTTGATGTTACTTACGAGTTATTTCTAAACAATGTGAAGACGTCTTGAGTGACTTAAAAGATTACGCTTCGATGTATGAATTGAAACAACCTCCGAATTCCCAATTATGTCTATCGTGAACCTTATTACAAAGCCTATTCAAGAACTTTTCAATCAAAGAAAATTGTTGACCAATGATGTACAATCAAAATTGTGAACGAACAAAGTTATGTGCAAACCTGACAAGTGTGTTTTAAAATCCGATGATATAAATTGTAAAAGAATCTTAGTTGATGACGCTGACTCTAAATCTACAAAAGGATCATTGGATACCTTGCTTAATCAAAGACTGTTAATCTCTTGAAAATAGAACGAGTTTGATGACATCACCAGATTGAGAATACATGTCCATAGGGAGAATGAAGTAATCATGATAAACATGATGTGGTCATGATCAGAGAGAACATAACAAGATGTGATTGTTGAGCCTTAAAGAATTTTGAGGACAAAATTCCTTTTAAGGGGGAAGAAATGTAATG